CCGCCGCCGAGGTGGATGAATACCTCCACCATCCCTTCGAGCGTGACGGAAACGTGCCAGTCCTCCGGCTAAAGGGAGAAGACGAGCTGGGTCCCGCGCCGGTCTATCCTCAAGACGCGGGGACGCCGCTACCCTCTCCCCAACTCTTGCTAGCGGAGGGCGACGAAGGGTACCTGAGCACGATCACTTGGCTGCAAAATCGTGGACCCTGTCTTCTACGTCTGCAGAGGAAGCCGGAGGATTGGGTTCTGCGGAACCACCGTCAATGGAAGTCTAACCTCCGAGGTCCTCCTAACTTGGTGAGAGCTGCTAGGACCAATCCAGCTCGTCCCTTACCAGACGGCGCCATCGACCCGTTCCGGAACCCTCTCCCGAACGAAAGGGAGAACGAGATCTGGAGTTTGCGGACGTTCTTGTTTCGATACAATTTCGAACGACTAGCGGCAAGGCGGCTACCAAGTCTCCAAGCGGCCACGACGGACGCAGCGCGGGGGGCCATCTGGGCAGGAGTACGCGACCGTATTCGACGAGCGTGGGGACAAGGAACGACAACATATCCATCCGCCGACGAGCCGCGTTACTTCGACAGTGACGACGACGTGGTACGCATGAGGCACTGGTTCGCAATCGGACGGCTCATGCTCGAATGGAACCTACGGGACGACATCGCTCAAGACCTGCGACTCGCGATGGGGGGCACTGTTATGGATGCGGTAGAGCGCATCAAGGCTGCGTACGCTAACGTATATAGGACTACCTTCGATAATCGCGACCCGCAGGCTTTCGTACCGCGTCCCTAGATTAATTAGTACATCTTGTATTCTTACTGTAATTACGTAAGCGCGCGCTCGCAGTCATCTCGCGCGCGTCCAGCAATTAGACGCCAGACCTTCTTGAACTCCTACCACACTCGTCCGTGTGCGATACCGCACCGTCCGAACCAGGAGGTAAGTCCCCAGCCGCGCGAGCTCCTCGCTCCTCGGCGCCCAGCGCGAGCTCCTCGCCGCTCTGAGGAGAAGCTCCTCGCTGTCTCCTACCCCAAGAGCGGCTCCTCGCCGTCTTGGCCTCCTGGGCTCCTCGCTGCAGGCACGCTTTCACCTCGCGGACCTCACCTCCGCGTACGTCCACGGCTCCTCGCGTCTCGGCTCCTCGCCAAGACTCGACGACTCGTGCCACGCTAGCTCCTCGCTAGTGCACGTCGGTATACGTGTCGCGGCGGCTCCTCGCCAACCCGACCGTATATCTCAGGCCGGCTCCTCGCCAGCACACGACCTTCACGACCCACTTACGACTCGGTCGCGGAGCGACCACCAACGTTCGAGCCGCCAGGCAGCCCGTTCCCTCCCAGTGCGAGTAGACGAAACCTCCGTCTCTCACAGGCAGAGGGAGGGCGCGAGTGCAAGTGGACGAGGGGGACAATGAAGACAAGGAGGTGGCTCACTGACGTTCCGGTTTAGTGCCCCTGCTTTCCTTTCGTTCACACCTGATCCTTGATCCGTCTCTTCCTTTGCTTGTGCTCATTTTGCTCTGTTGCTGTTGCTTCAGGCCAACCATAACGTTCGCGACAAAGATGCCAACCTGAAACTCAGGGGCAGGTATCATCGTCGTACAGCTGCGTAACAGTGAAGCACACCATTGCATATGGCCTGTGCAGGGTCGGCGCAGATGTCAGCCTTCAATACTACCGATGACGGTCAGGGCACAGACCTGCCGAGTTCGCGTACTAGCCCATACGAAGCGGACACGTTTCATCTTGAAGCCGGGCTGTCAGTGGTCACCCTTCTTGCTGCCCAGATACTACCCGTCCCAGCCAGATATGCAGAGCGTCATGAACTGCAGCACATATAACGCGAAGCTGGCGCCGAACCCGCCTGCGATGAGGAGCACCGTCGAGTACTCGCCCCAGCGCGCCATCGCAGCTGACCCACAGGGACCGTCAACAAAAGTCCGGAGGAGCACATGCCCAGGGAGGAGTTGGGCGTGCGCAAAGCCTGTAAATGGTACATACATCGCTGACGCGCCGAACGACAACTTCGCCGGCCGCGCGAACGCATCCGTGCCGAGCTTCATCGCGCGACCTGTCTGCAAGTGAGGATGGCTCTGCTGCACCAGCAGGCGCTGCGTACTTGGGTAGCCGTTCCTCGATAGCAGGGTCGTGATAATAGGGCGAGAGGGCACTGGCAGGGAGGCAGGTACGAGAGCAAGGAGAGGGGTAGCGCGTGTGCAGCAGGGAGCGCGCTGTTGTTATCCGAGTCGGTGGCTGTAAAATTTGAATGTAGTCGCGTCGTGGTCGAAGGAGGCGGCAATGTCGCAAGCGGCGTCCGCTAACTTGATGCGTTCTGCTGGTGGTTGTGGTTGTCGATGCATACAGACTGTGCAGGCTGCTTGAGAGACAATGTGTGCTGCAGTTCTGCAGGTTCGAGGGTACTCGGCGCATACAGCGCCCCTGCCTCCCGAATCTGCGCCTTGCCGCACCATCGCGGAAGGTGGCGATGAGCATCGCGATGGACGAGGAGCTGGAAACCACGCGCGCGCGCGTGCCTGCGAGGAGCGCGGGAGTGAGCAGTTCCGTGAGGAGGAAAAGGCCTGCGTGGGCGCGGGTGAGCGGGTGGGAGAGGGCAAGGGGAACATAGGCGAGGTAGAGGTAGGGATGGAGGTAGCACTGACGACGTTGTTATACGAGATATGCAACCTCCTGACTGTTCGGCCGCACAGGTAAGTACCCACCCCATCCCGTACACACCCAACCACCACACCACTCACCTCAAGAACTCCACCGCCGCCCTCCTCACCGGCTTCAAATTGATCTCCAGAAACATCGCCTTGCGCCCCGTCTCTTCCTTGAGGCTCGCGAACCCAGCTTGTGCTTTCGTCCAGCTCCGCGCGGCCATGTACACACGCGCGGTGTTCTGGTGGAAGACCTGTGGTGCGTGTGTGCGTCAACGTCGCGCATTCCTGTTTGTGAGAGCAGCCTCGCTGGTGAGGGGCGAGCGTACCTTGACGATCTCCCTCTCGATTCCGACGTTCTCTCCGACATCGGCCAGTCAGCCTTGCTACAGTCAAAGAAAGGAGGATGCACCGGTGACGACGACGCGCCCGCCATGTCGGGCATGTTCGCCGCGCGGAAGGAGTCCGTTGGCAAGAGCACACGCCAGGTCACCCGGGACACATATGCCTCTGCGAGGAAGCTTCGAGTTCGGACGTTTAGTCATGCGTCAACTTCGGGTTTCGCAGGCGCAGGGGAGGTGAGTCCGAGCTGCCTTGCGTCGACTTTGGGTGTGCGACGCCCGCCCTCAATCCTCATCAAGCGACGCTGCCGCGACGAGCCGATCGAACATTTTGCTGTGACCATCCTCCTGTCTGTCCTCTGCCTGTTTGCTATTGAATCTTGATGGCACGCACACAAGTTGTTGTCGTGAACAACGTAACGGCTGGTCGGCCGGGGTTCGACAATGATTAGAGCCCTGCATGCAACAGAGGCGCGAGCTAGCACATGCTCACCACGGAAGGCGATCCCAGCGAACGGCCACTGAAAGAGCTGCCTGATCCTCCTATTTCAGACATGGCCAGAGAGGGAAGGTCGAGAGGCAGTATGTCGTAGTATGCATGCAAGGATTCAGCAGATGGGGGAGGCGACAGACGTCACCGCAGCTCAACCTGTGTTGAGTCTTCACGGCACCAACTGACGCTACACCCTCTAGAACGTGACCATCAATGGCGAGGCATGGAACTCGACGTGTTACCGCGACTGGAGCGCGTTCGAGGCGGGCGCGACAATGGAACTGCAACTTACCGACAACGCAAACGTCACCTGCGGCGATGGCCCACAGGCGCTGCCGCCGTCGCTCTCGACGGGCGGCTTTGACTGACTCTAGCAGATGGAGATGCAAGGGTTCCACTAGCGTTCAGTGGGTGTCCAGATGATCATCGATCAATACTCAAGCACAATAGGCTCGATGTGGGCCTGCGTAGGCCTGCGTATCCATAGTCTGTCTCAATATCCCTGGCAAACACTGGCCAACGCCTTTGGCGGAGTTACGTAAGCAGGTCCATCTCCGAAACACGCGTTCAGATCTCTCGCGCGCGACGCGTCGGACGCGTCGCGCTCCTCATTTGCTTGCTGCTTCCCTCTCTTGAGCTCTTCATTGCATGTACCGTAGCCGACTCCAATCAATGCAGAGCCCCGTGTCTGATGGGGCTTATACACACTCATTCACCTCGTTCAGCTCCCCTGGAGGGATCGCTTTTTGCCGCGACATCACCTCGAAAACTCAACCATGGAGCCCCCACGACTACCAGCTCGAAGGAGCTTGTAAAGCACTCGACGGCGTCGACGTGCTCGCAATCACACCAACTGGATCAGGGAAAACCGGATTTCTCTTGATTTACATGCTTGTAGCTCAAGCCTTAGCGAAGGACCGGGAGCTGTGTCCGAAGGAGCTGCGTAGTCGCTTCAGAGCGGACCCGTGTATGGTTGTGGTCTGCCCGACGAAGGCTCTTGAGTAAGATATGGTGAGTGGCACTACACTCCTTTGCGGAAATCATGGCTCAGATCAGAACAGCAGTCCAAGTTCGAGGCCACCGGCCTTACAACTGTGGTCATCAATGCCGACACCACTCGAGCGAAAGGCGTGAACACTGACCCTTGGCAAAGGGCGCGATCGAACACGGCTGTTATCCTGCTCTCCCCGGAGCAGCTATCTACGTCGGGATTCCGAGGTCTGGTCGATGACAAGACGTTCACCGGTCGTCTCATGGCGCTCAACGTCGACGAGGCGCACCTACTCTGCAGCTGGGGCAACCAGTTTCGCACGTCATTCAAAAACATCGGCCACGTTCGTGTACACTCCGGTCATCATCGCGTTAACTGCGACGATCTGCACCGGTCCTCAGATGGACTCGGTCTGCCGGTTCTCGGGCCTGCACGAGGGTGAGTGTCACCTCATTCGCCGTTCTAATGCACGCTACGACATGCGCTGGCTCTTCCGCACGAGTCGGTTTGGGTTGTACGCATACTACAGGTGTCTGCGATACCCTCGGTGGCGCAAACGCCGGATATACCGGCGGAGGAGTCTGCCAATTGACAGGAGGCATCATGGGTATGTATGGTCCTGGAGAGTAGGCTGATATTGTGGCTACCGGTGTCAGTTCGTGGGGGACACCATGAACACCGTGCGCGTACGCGGGTGGTGGTGAAGTCATAATAGGTCTGTACCAGCCTTGTGCCGGAGGGGGAGGTGGGCTGTAGGTTGGGAAATTATGATCATGGGAAGGATTTCGGTGCATCTTGTGTTTCGCCGTGAACTGAGTGTAGACGTAGAGCGAGAAATCATATCATATTCAATGTGCAGTCTGCCTCATACACTACAGTGCGACCGATAATATCTGAGATGGATCTGGGATCAGCCACCGGCATTCTTGCCGTGCCGTGCCGCAGCCACTGGCATCGTCCGGCCATCACAGAATGGGTCCTCAAGGGGCTTGGCCAGTATGGAGGGCGCGTTTTGAAGCAGACCCTAATACGACCGTCCTCCTCCCCTCCAAAAAGGTCGTATTTGCGGTCTGCCTATGGGAGACTAGCGTATCCAGCACGCTGCACCGGGCAGCCCGATGCGTGATCTGTGTGCCTGTATATGGACTGTATGTACTGAATGGCGGATGCATTTGTGCGGTCTCAACTTGACGCACGCTGATTTGACTCCGCGAAGCATTGCAGGAAGTCCAGAAAGTCCGATCCACGGGGAGAGCCGTTGCGTGCAACGCGTTGCGCGCAACGCGCAACGTCACGCAAGTCACGGTGTGGCTCCCCTGTGGCCTAAGCGGCGCCCGGGCCAACGGTACACGAATCTTTTCAACCTTGGGCTACAAGGGATTGTTGGAGGTTATACTGAGAGGTATATCCTCTAGTAGAACGAATGTCGCCTCCGTGTGCGTAGTTCGAGTGCTTACTCGATGCACCGCGGCCCGCCACCGTATACTTACGTAATCTCCCGGTAGATACATCGCGGCCACCGGCCACGGTGGCGACTGTTGGCAACTCAGAGACTAGAGTCGGTCCCCGCAATCCCAATTGAGCTAAAGAAAAAACTGGAATGTAAACCCGATTATATAGGAGCTATCACACATCTAAACGATGTTCAGAAAACAGCTGTAAGTATGTTTGGAACGGACCGCGTCACAAGGCACCCGCCACATGCCCCGATTAGGCAAGTGGTCGGTCAACGGTAATAAGTTAGTCGGAATCTATGTACAAGTAGACGTCAGCTAGCCGTGCAGTATTCACCAGCACAATCCTATGACTTCTCAAATAGTGCAGCTCTCTACTTAGTTCTCATCGCTGCGGCGGCGCCGAGGCTGGACGAGCACATAAGCAACTGTCTAAAAGTGTATGTCACAGCGTGATGTATGTGACTGTTGCACGTTGCGCGTTGCGCGTTGCACGCAACGCCCCTCCCAGTCGATCGGACGTTCTCAGGAAGTCACAGTGCACACGTGGTAGGTTCGGAACAAGCCGCCTCCTCCACGTGGTATTTCGTGCTCCGCACACCGATGTGAGGAGGGGCTTGCTTCAAGATCGGTCCAACTGGGGGGGTTGTTGCGGCCTGTCTGGTGGTTGAGAACACGCGCCAATTGACTAGGTCTCGCAGTGTGAAATGTTATTTCGAAGCATAGGAATGTACTCCAGCAACTTCGAAGTCCCCGGACCTCTCAGACGTCGTGCTATCAGCTGCGTAAAACAGCGCTCGGACGGCCAAACCAGCATGGTTGCTCGCTACGCTAAAAAATATTCGCAACGTCCAGTTGCGTCGTTTGAAAGCCAAAGGCTGGTGGATAAAGGTCTTCACATGAACCTACATTGGTATTTTCAGCCTTACATGAGCTCAACATGAGGAGGGAGCCTCCGCCGCGGCGCGAGTCTTCGAGACGCGCTGTGTAAACGCGTCCGAACGCGTGCGGCTGCTCGGCGCTTATGCGCTCTCTCTGTGCTCTCACCTTGACTCTCCACGACTCGACGCGTCGCAATGTCTGAGAGTCCACGAACGCCTCCCAGACGTCCCGCACCGGCCCTAGGCAGCTCCACTCGCAGTCCTGGAACGCCTTGGCGGCGCAAGACACCTCCGAAGAGGACTCAGGGCGTCAAGCCGAGGTCGTCAAAGTTTTCGGAGGGTAAAATCAGTGACAACCTCAAGAGATTGCTGCGGCTGGAGTTTGAGCCGGACCCATGGCAAGCTCAAATGATTTCCAAGGTGCTACGCGGTTACGACAGCATTTTTTGCGCGGGGACCGGCTACGGAAAGAGTCTGGTTTTCCAGGGCCTGGCGGTGCTAGGAGGGAAGAAGAAGGTTGTCATTGTCATATCAGCCCATTGAAGGCACTTGAAGCAGACCAGGTAAGTAGTTCTTAACTGTTCTACTAGGTGTGAGATGAAGTGTGCTCCGATGACCAGGTCAAGGAGGCCGAATCGAAGGGTATCAAGGCCGTCATGATCAACGAGGACAACTCTCGCACAGCGGCGCTCTGGACGACAGCACGCACGGAGGCTCAAATGATCTACATCTCACCGGAGATGGCACAATCCGAGTCGTTCGCGAAGCTCTGGAAGGACCATCGCTTCCGGGATCGCCTACAAGCCGTGATTATCGACGAGGCGCATTGTGTAGACGAGCGGGGCGCGGAGGACTTCAGGGGGCATTATCGCCGTTTAAGCACACTGCGTCACTATACTGGTCACGAAATCCCTTTCGTGGCTTGTACAGCGACGTGTTCCACTTCGACGTTCGATGTCTTATGGGACACGCTTTCGTTCGGCCTACGCCCTTTCTGGGGCATCGATGTTGGCGCGGACCGGCCCAACCTCTTGTTCGTCACGCGCGCGCTGCGCAATCCGCAGAATCCCCTGCCAGACTTCCTCAATATCCTCCCTACCAACATCACCAATGCCCCGCAGGCCGCCGAGATCCCGAAATCCATCATCTACATCGACTCGGAGCCTGGATGTCACGACATGAAGGCTCAGATCCGGAAGTGCCTCCCTGCGCACCTTCGAGACACGGTCTATGCCTTCCCGTCAGGCGCGTCCGAGGCGGCCAAGAAGCTCGCATGGGAGCGCTTCCGGAGTGGCCGCTACCGCATTCTCTGTGCCACCGATGCGGCGGGTGTGGGTTGCAATGTACCCGACATCCGCTACATCGTCATTTTGAAATGCCCACGCTCCTTATCGGTCGTCGCACAACGTTGGGGACGTGCAGGACGTCACCGAACGACGCAGGCTGTCTGTCTGCTTCTAGTCCCGCAATGGGCGTTCCGTCCTCCACCCGTCGCAAGTCAGATCGCCGTGCAGGCGGTACAACGCCTGCGCCAGTCGTCTACGAAGGTCAAGCCAGAGAGCAAGTGAAGTGCTACCCAGCGTGCAAGGCTGCCTAGCGACCTGGAGAAGTTCATCAATGTAGCTGATGAGTGTGAGCATAGTGCGTACAGGTGGTCTTACTTCACTTGATGGTGTTATCTAACTTGCTGTTGCAGGCTGCCTACATCGCTTCCTTGTCGACGCTTTTCAATCGCGAACACGGCTAGCAACGCATAGGTCTCTCGACAACTCGGACAAACCTGTGGCAGGGTCCCGCTCTGACAAGTCTCCCTGGTTGCTCCGCTGGACTGTCTTGGACGTCGGGAGACATCCGCCTCGCGCACGGTGTTGTAATTATTGCAGCCCAACACATCCTGACATCATACAACCAGCCTCCGATAAAGACCCTCGCCTATCGATGTATGCCGCCGATTTCATACGACCGCTCGCGGTTCCGAGCACTCGCACACGATCCACAACCATCACGTCACAATCATCAGCGTCCGGGTCCCATTCTGTGGCGTCAACGGGTACCTCCGAGTCGGGTAATGTCCCGCCCAGTAGCGATGTCTCAGTGATCCGGCAGGACAAGGATCGACTACGGGCTGCGCTTACGGAGTGGCGCGTGAACGCAGTCAATCCTCGACGCGACAATTTCTTCATGTCGTATGAAGTTGACTTTCCTTCCAAGTTCATTACCCAACTTGTCGGGGAGAGTAGGAGAATCCTGAGGCTCGACGATTCGGAGGTCAATGCCCAGAGCATCCTCAAGATCATTCGGTGGGATTCTGCGACAGACGCGGACCTCAATAGCCTCACCTCGGTCATCGAGACGTGGCGCTACAAGACCCTCTTGGGCATGACACCCGTTTCACAGCGGCGAAGTCGAAAGAAGGCCCGTAGCATCACCCGCCGCTGCACGTCCTCGCATCACGCAACCAGAATTCAGTAACTCCCCTTCGGCCCATCTGTACAGTCCGTGCTACACAGCTCAGAGTCGATGGGCGCGGGCGCAGCTCGAACTCGTGCTTCGTCACCGTTAGATGTTGGGTCAAATCCGTTCATCACTCCCCGTGCGTCCCGTACTTCTGTAGGAATGCCAAGACAGGTACACGCACCACACTTCACTCTGCCCCATCCTGTCCACGTCGCACCAGCAGGAT